CTGTCGTCCCACACATGTGACGTCTGTCACATCAAATGTGATGTCTGTAGTGGTCACTGGTCTGTAGTCTGTAACCTCTTTCGACGGAAAGATGATAGAAAGAGAGATTCCGATGCTCTAAGGGAACGCGTGAAACAAGGACAGCAGACTCAGCGCGACCAACTTGCCAACGTTAAATAATTTTACTCTTCACAGTTGGTGAACCTGCCCCCCAGCGGCTGTCGGCGAGCAAAAGTGGGCGTGGTTTAGCTGAACTGCACACACCATGTTATCCCTTCCACCATGACATCGACGGACACTGCCCGACCGACCAGCCCCGACACCGCAAATTGACAACTGTGGCAACCGTGCGTGCGCGAGAGAGATGGACCAAGATGGCCGTCGATGATCTAGGGACATGCCCAGCCCGCTCGTTGCTTACCGGGTTACTAGAGGCCTAGTAACAGGATCCTGCAGCCGAGAACACAGACTTTTGCATAAAGGCGAATTCACACCTTGACCGAAAAGCGGAAAACAGAAAAGCAGAAGCCAATCAGAACTGGCGTCAGTGTTGCCATTAGGGACGCTTTTTCGCGCATGCGCATTACAGTCGACAGTTTAGGCTAGGGCTGTAACATGCATGCGTACAATAAACGTTTTGGCGGGCTGACGCTGAGGCTGAGCGCGGGCTCTAGGTTAAGATAGGATTAAGTATGATTATTATATGGTAAGTATGTTATATTATATTATTATTTATTATTAAATATTTAATATGGATACACAAAATAAAAAGGGAGTCATTAAAAAGCATGCTCGTAATTTTCAAAATAGTTGGTTACATGAAAGTATTTTTAAAGGTTGGTTGGCTCCTGATATTAATAATAATAATAAAGCATTGTGTATTTTGTGCAATACCACAATAAGATGTTGCAGAGCAGATTTAGTGCGACACTCACAAAGGGCCAAACACATAGAAATGGTTAATAAACTAGATGAAAGCCTCAATAAAAATAATCAAATGTTAATTAATAATCAAATGTCTCATAGTGATAGCATAAAGCGTGCAGAAATAAAATTAGCTTCATTTTTTGCAGAGCATAATATTGCTCTTCATACCACAGATCACTTACTTCCTTTGATACAAAGTATTTTTAAAGATTCTGTAATTGCACAGGATATTTCTCTAGGCCGATCTAAATGCACTGCCGTTATTAAAAATGTAATCGCAAAGCGTGAAACTGAAAAACTTGTAGAAAATCTCACAAAATATAGATTCTCAATTTTAATAGACGAAAGTACAGATATTGGTGAAACAAAATTAATGTGCATTCTTATACAATTTTGGTCACAAAAAGAAAAAATTGTTAAAACTCAATTGTTAGAATTGGCTTCATTAGACGCTAAAAATTGCTCTGCGAATAAGCTTTTTGAAAAATTTAAAGATGTTTTAAATAGTAAAGATATCCCTATAACAAATGTTGTTGGAATGGCAAGCGACAATGCATCAGTGATGATAGGATGCAATAATTCATTTTTCTCGCGTTTGCAATTAGAGTCACCGGGTGTAGTTTTATTAAATTGTATTTGCCATTCTTCCGCGATAATAGCCAGTAAAGCCTGCGAAAAATTACCGGATTCTTGTGAAAACTTAATTAGAGGAATTGCAACTTATATATCAGGTAGTGCAAAGAGGTGTGCAATTTTAACAGAATTCCAAGAATTTTTTCAAGTAGAGAAACAAAAAATTTTAAGATTATGTAACACACGATGGCTCGTTTTACATCAATGCGTGAATAGAATTCTTGATCAATGGGAAGTTTTAAAAAGTTATTTTATTTTAGCAACAGTTGAAGATAAATCAAAATCTGCGGAAGTAATTTTAACACAATTAAATGATAATGTTATTAAATCATATTTGCTCTTTTTAAGATATTCTTTAAATTATTTTAATAGATTCAATGCCCTTTTTCAATCACGCAACACTTTAATTCATAAATTACATAAAAATAGTCAACAACTTATTAAACAAATAGCACTGAATTTTATAACTCCTGAGGCTTTGGAAAACATCGCTTTATTAACCATAAATGATGAAAATGATGACCAATATCTGAATCATATACAATTAGGGTCCGAATGTGAAGAACTCTTAACAGTCTTATCGTTAGAATGCGCACGGGAAATTAAATTAAAATGTTTAAATTTTTATAAAACGGCTGTCCGCGAAATGATGAAACGTTTACCGTATAAAGACACTTTTTTTGAACATTTGTCATTTTTAGATCCCACAATAGCTTTATTTCATGAAGGTAGAAATAAAATAAAAAATTTAACTTGTATTGCCTCGCATATAGGTCGTATAGATGTAGCGAAAGTAGAATATGAATGGACAATTTTACCTACAATTTTTAACGAAACTGAGAAAACAGAATTAGCACGTTTGAATATTAATGAAATGTGGGCCAAAATATTAGAGTATGAAGATTTTGATGGGGAAAAATTGTTTCAAAATTTAGAATTATTAGTGCAAGCAGTTTTGTCCTTTCCCCATTCTAACGCAGAAGCGGAACGAATTTTTTCTATTGTTAGTGA